TATGGTAGCTAAGAAGATGCAAAAACGTGGGTGAAAATTTCAAAAAATGTCAACGGTTACTCAAAATTTCCACGCGTATATCTAATAAAGAAATTTAATTGTTTAATTGTAATGTTACATTTAATGACACGAGTATCATTAATTCTCCCAGTCTATGATTATTTCCTCTGGGCAGGCAATGCATCGAATGTTAATCTTTCTTGAGAGGAAAGCGGCATCGAGGTTTGAGGCCGCTGGTAAGCGTTACAACGAATCAAACCTCGATCTAGCTTTAGCAAACATAGCCTAGTACTTTATTTCTTCCACCAGGTTGCCTCTTATTGATTTTTCTCAATGCCGCTATCCTCTCACAAAAGATTAATATTCGACATTGTCTGCCCGGAGGAAATAATCTTAGACTTGGAGAAGTAATGATACTCGTGTCATTAAATGTAACATTACAATTAAATTTGTTTACGCGTGGAAATGTTGAGTAATCTTTGAACAATCATTGAAGGTACCGTAATAATTCGAAGACAGTATACTGTGCGCTTGTGCCTTGGGTAACTTCATAATTAATTTTTCAATTTATCAGAGGTACACGATCAATGAATACAAAAAAGGCCAAGATTGCATAGTTTGTGGTGCATTCTGAAAACATTTACAGTGGATAAATGATTAATAATAGATCTTATAACATTAATTTACATCGTGTCATAATAGATATTATAAGATAAATCCTTCACAGGAAATTAACGTTTCAATTTTTGAATTTATTATTTAAATTAGCATTGGCAACATCTACTGTATCAGCTGCTTCCTTACTTAAATCGATTATCAGATTAAATCATGGCGACTTACGAATATTCATTCAGCTAAGCTGATTAATATTATAGGTCCGTCCTATTTGCATTAATAAATTTATCATTAATGATGAAGAATGTTGGGTACTTTTAGTATTGGTAAAACTATTAGGCCTTAAAGTGCTCCGAAGTGGTCCATGGTTTGACTTACTTAATATTGTAGCTGTAGATTGGTTATAAAAGCACACTGCGTAAGCAACAATGCCGACGCGATTTCGTGAAGACGGCAACGCGACTATACGCGCCGCTCTGAAGACCGTTTTCGCCCACGTTCCGCTCTCAGATTCGTCCCGATGCACTGTGTGCCCCGGATTCGTTTGAATTCCAGTCTTATGATCAAATTATTCACAGATACCAACCCTCATAATCATTGAATGCGAAAAGTATGAGCTTTTTAAAAGTATTGGGAGTGAATATAACATTTATCTACGTTCGTTTTGGTTATTATTGTCACATTAACAATAGTGCAGTAACAATTAATTTGTTATTATTGCAATTCTGTCGTAAATGTCTTTATACTAATGCATCAATATTAGGCCTAGGCATTTTCAATGTAATAATTCTTTTCTGATTTCGAGATCGTCACATCGTCGGAAGCATAATGTAGCCACTGTTATTGGACTTGTCTAAGCATTGTCATCGTCATCTATATTCGTTACTGAAATCATTGGAAACGATTAAGAACAACGTTACAGGCACAAACAACCTCAGTCAGTACGACCGTCGGCCCACGGATCCATCTTCGCTATTTGTGGGCGTTGACGAATCAACGTCGTCTGCTGATTTCCGTTGGCAAAATAGAGGATCGTCATTACAAACAATCAGTTGCGTGCATCTCATCGCACTTTCGTCATCATGGAATCACATCGGCCAACGACCGCCTGTGTATGTTGTCGGCTTTACAGAACATGGTGCTATGTTAAAAAATTGTTTTAACTTGTACCGGTATCTGCCAATCGATATTAACAGTGTAGGCCTATTGCTATGCAAATTGTCGCTTTCATAATACTACGCAACCCTATCATAATAGTGTATATCTATTAATAATGACTCTATCAATATCATACAATTTGTCATCAGATCCCTCCATTGCCAGAGGCTTAATAACATTCTCAATGTTACTCCACCATGGTAATGGTAATTGCAATTAGCATTGTCGCCATTGCTATTCATGTTTTCATAGTAATTATCATATCGATGTAGGCCTAGCTGTTAACGTTTAGTGGGTAATATTACCATGTCATATTATCTGCTCAAAGCAGAGACCTTCAGAACGTATTGGTCCGTTTAAGGAAACAGCTTAGGCACAATCTCTCAAGACAAAAAACAAATTAAAAAATAAACGAACCAAACACACACACACAAATTGAAACTGATATTAATAGAATATGGACAAGAGCCCATTAAATAGACTGCACAAACAATTCGTTGCATATTTAATATCATATTCCTTCGAGGATTGAATTTAAAGATCACTTGTGTTTATTGTATATTTCTAAAGTAAACGTTCGGTAAGCCTATTTGGAATATGTTTGCATTAATAAAATCCTACGGCAATAGATCGAAGTATCTATCATGTACGTTGCTATTCCAGTCCTCGCAGTAAGATCTCTTATGATCATCCATCGACCAATCTCTATTATGCGAATCTGTGGAATATGTTTTATCTCACAACATTAACATAAACAACAGTCAGTGGCCTATTAAATGGGGAATGGGGGCAGCCGAAATTTTTTTTTTATTAATGGAGAAAAAAGAAAATTATATTCAAAATTAAGCCAGAGAGTGCCATTTTTGGCCATCTGAGGTGCCTTAATCATAAATTTTCTTGCCTCAGCCCCAACCATGGTGGGGCTGAGAAAGCCCAGACCCCAATCTGGGAAAGTCCCTTCCCGGGCCCCCTCTATTTCGAATTCATGGATCCGCCAATGACAGGCAAGTGCAAAGGAGGTATTAAATAAACAAATAAATAAATATTAAATACTTATTTAGTAAAGTACTTCCTTGATCAGAGGGAATTGTCATAATCTTTGGCATATCCTTACGACTGTGTTCAGCCCTCCAGGAACTGATGACATAGCCGTTTTGGCTAGAAGGATGATATATTCATATTTAAAATATGTTGATCATGATGATTTAAAATAAACAATTTGACAGTCATATTATTTTTTAAATATAATCTCCTGGTTTGTCTATTTTGTAGATCTCCAAATGATTTAACCGAATCTAATTATTATAGGCTATAATACTACGCTAATTTACAAATATTGAACAACTAAAATATAATATGGGTTTTAAAATCATGTCTCTACAAATATTGTTTAGAAAATAACACTTACTGTTGGAATCGTAGTGTTCCCAAATTTTAGCGAATGAATATGCCGTCAGTTTTCCCGATGCAGGATACTGCGCGAGGAAATTATCGTATTTCCTGGACATTGTGAATCGTTGGCTTGTGGATAAAACGGTAGCTATCCTTGTGATTTTGCTTCGTATGTACGGTATTGCAATCTACGTCTGCCACAATTTCTCACTTAGCTCAGAGTACTATCAGTGTTGATTAGTAACACGCATGCGCATCTTGAGCATAACATGATTGATATTATAATGTAAATGGCATGTTAGAATCAATAATAAATTGTTCAGTAACAATCAGTACAATAACACAGAAAATGGCGTGTGCGACCGGGTAAAGTTGAAGATAGCAATGCATTTTTCACATAAACGTATTTCTTAGAAAATAGCCAAATTCATCCGTTAATATTTTTTTTAATTTTATCATGTTTGGTTTGGGCAAATTAATTATATGAAAGTGATTAAAGTTTTTAAATATTTGGATTATATATTTAAAAGTATGAAGGTAATAATACGGTAGTCATTTTAAATATTCCTTGTATTAAGTATATTATAAGCATAGGTATAGGCCTATTTACCTTTGCACTGGTAATCAATATAAGAATTTTCGTATTAAAATTCAGTAATCTATTTAACATTTCATTTGAAGATTTGCGTAGGGGAATGGGTGTTGGGGTGGAGGATTAAGGTAGGGGAGTGGGAGACGGGTCCCCAGATTTTACCATAGACCTAGGACCATATCTTTAAGATTCTCGCACTTTCATTGTATCAGGTCTTAGGATTTTCATAATTAGAACCATTCTACAAGATAAGCGCATAGAGGCAATTTACAATATTCGCTATAAAATTATGTAATTATTATTTTCTTTATAACGAGGATTGGTGACATAGCGTGTCGAAGGTCCCAAACAATTAGCTTCGCTGTTGAATGTAAAACGTAAAAATAATAATTTTGAGCCATTTATCTCGTACGTACGAGATATTAAGTTGTACGTACAGTAAGGCCTACGAGATATTAAGTCGCACGTACGTGATATATACGTACGACATAATATCTCGACGTACAGGATAATGGCTCAAAATCGTGTTTGCGTTAGCAGGATTCTGTTTTCGTATTATGCCTACAGTACATACGTTAAAAAAAATGATGTTTAAATTTACTTTCTTCAACAGCAGGCTTGTCAATACTATCGGCGGCGGTGTGGATCATGTGCTCTGCTCCACTAATCCCGACCTTGAGAACTGCAATTTTTATTATGTTTATCCCCATCACATCACGTAGCATAATTCATGAGCCACGTGAAAATAAATAATAATTAGGCGTATTATAACCACCACACCAACGCCAACACCACTACCATCACCATGTGTCCGCTTTGGCTTCGCTCTCTCTTTTCTCGTGTAGTATTTTACAATGTATTTGAGGTAGGTTAGGGGACTTTTGCTTAGAGAATATAAGTATTAAAATTCAATAAAATACTATACATAGTCCTACTTATTACACGCTATAACACCGAAAGCGTGTACAAACTAAGATTAAATTAATAAATAGGCCTAATATATAACTTAATGCAATTATAATGCGTTAAGACCATTATGTTATTATTGTCGTCATCATCATCACCATCACCACCATCATCATCATCATCATCACCGCAACCACATCCACCATCATCATCATCATTACAATTATCATCATCATCATCATCATTGTCATAATGGTTTCTGATGCTGCTAATTATCATCATCTTATAAACTTGAAAACTGAAAACAAAATAAATTTCTTACTTTGAACGAGACAAACATTCCATGACAAATTAAAAGTATGAATGATACCATTCTACAGTATTTCCAATGCGGTTAATAATGTGGACAAGCGTTTTAAGAACTAGTTGTGCAGAGCGATATAAATACCGACATAGGCCTATTATTTTTATCCTAATAATTCTTATGACAAATAAAAAGATATTTCGTAGTAAATGCTCTGTAAGAACTGATTATCTTTGATCTGTAACTTGTTGAACGTTGACTATAGCATAACTTACGTGATTCCTTTAAAATGATTAAGAAAGTTTATCTGGTTTTTTTTATTGTTTTTTTTTTTTTTGGTGCCCAACCATGTAAAAATATCACAAACGTTTTTAGTAGTTGTAGTTGGCAGAAATTGTATGAAAGAAGCCCTCAAGAACGTAACAACTTTATTGCGCCACATTGCATTCAATTGTTATCCAAACACTTTAGCCATACGGGCTTAAATCGATGAGCGGCGATCAAATAAACACCGGTCCGCGCGTTAAACTGAGGCTATCTCTATTCAGCGTTTAACGCTTCGTGTATGTACCTTTCAGACGAGGCTTTTTGTTGACACTTAAAACATGCTTAAATCAGGGAGGAAATATCCCCCATGTTTAAATACAGTACACAGTGTCGTAATTTATTATAATTATTTGGTTTTCGGCAATGGTTTATAATAAAAATAAATTAAAAAATATATAAATAAATAATATGTTTTAAAATTAAACACACTTAGAACACTTTGCTAACTGACCGCGTCATCCATGCAAGGTGTCCTATTAATGGTTAACTCCTGTTTTGTTTTGTAGTTGTAGGGGGAATCCTGATGTCAAACTTACACCAGGGCCATGAACGTTTTTGGAAATAACCTCTAGTTTATGTGTACACAATTTCCTGCACGTCCTTTCAAAACCGGCGACGCTGTACGCATTCAAGTTCTGGTAACAACAACAACAACACTGCAGTGAGGTTCTGGGGTCCGCCTACCCAACAACACGTTCTCGTTTTACACACGTGTAACACGGGTGGTTTTTATGTTAGTGTTACCTTATTTAACTACGTCCATTAGTGAATTTTTTTTCTCGTATTTCCATATTATAAATTCATCAAACTCACTTTCATGTATTTTCTCCCGAAATTTGTGACTATTTAACGAGCACATTACCAATCATCAAACTGTAGATTTTAGTTTTAGAAGGATGTTTAAAGGTAAAATTTAAAGTTTTTAATAGGTTATGACATCTGTGCTCAATGCGATTCATAATCATATTTCATCCCTCATGCTATTTACGGCCCCATTAGTGCAAATATTATGTATTAGAATGTCATAAAGCTTTTTTACTTTGCAGTTACAGTACTGCAATAAGCTATAATTACTGTATATGAAAACATAAAATTACATGAATGCCGTAAAATATTAATAAGTTTATAAGGACATGATTAATGGAATATGCCCACCGAGCAGAGAGTAACTAGCGATTACATTATCATCTTGGCGTAGTTATGATCTGATCGATAACCGTGTTCCAGGCACAGTAATTGCCACATAAACTTGGCCTTATTTCCTCGTCAGTAGTTGTAAAAATGCTGATGAACTGTAAAGCCAGGAACACGCTGCGCCGTACGACGGCCGAACGACAAATCCATTTCCACTCTCTGTTAGCGCTTGACGATGCAGCGCCGTCTGCTGAATGTCGGCGGCATAAGCTGATCGTCATTAAAAACGATCCGTTGCTCAGTCTCATCACGTTGCGTTCACTTTGGAAGAACTGTGGGTGGAATGCTGCAGCCTAAGACATGAGGAGGAGGCTTAATGCCTTCGTCATGAGATGTCAGAGGACAATTCTTGAATCAAGTGGTCACACCATTTCTGAGACAATGACATTTGCCGAAACACCGGTCGGCTTCAACAACATGATTTTAAGCTCCACGTCTAATGTCTTGGTCACATATAGAGAATAAACAATAACCGACTTCCAATTTGCAGACTCCACAACCCACCATGGCCGAAGAAAACCTGGCAGACCGTGTACAACATAGAAGGAAGTCATCAAACAAGATATAGACAACATATTTCCAGGAGGGACAGTTGAGGAGGCTGGCATAGCTGCAGAGGTCGCAGAATCTGGTGACATTTCACTACGTCAGACAGCAAGTGCAGATGATGCATGATGCTGTCTGATGATAAACGATTTCCCCCAATGTTTTTAATCTCCAGATTAAAGTTTATTCAATTCCAGTTATACAATTTCTTCAGAAGGAAGAAGCAGGAAGTCAAGACCCAAAGGGCATGAATGCTCTCGAAATCAAATTTGGTTGCGGTTGAAATGATAGTATTCTCAAAGATGTTGGCCAGAATGGTTGAGTGATCGTGAGAGGTTGAGTGATCTCGACCATCTGAAGATTGATTAATCGTTGCTATACACCAACCAACTTTGGTAATGTGGTTCAGTGAGAATTGCATCAATTTAGTGGCACATCATCAGCATAAGCATTGTCATCTTCTCAATCATCAACTTTTGACCATCGTCAACGTCATGAGAGATTGTGATCTCTCATGACGTCGGCTCTTAACTCGTTTCTTTGGGCTCAACTCCTCAATGAATTACGGCCAACTACTCAGATTGCTACAAGCCAAGCTTACCTCCCAACTACTACTACTACAACATTTAGTTCGATCATCATGATCCATTTATTGCATTTACTCGAACTTTTTCCGGGATATGGCTGTCTTCTTTATAGTATGACAACGCGTACTGCTAAGGATAGAGGGCAACATCACTATAATACGTTACACCACATTACGTTTCTCTGCACTATCTTTTTCCATGTCATTCACAAACGAATGTTGACAAAGCTTCCAAGATTAAAGATTATTTTCAATAAGAGTTTTTTTTACCATCATTAACTGAATAAAATTTATCAAGTACTATGCGGTAAGTTTACAATAGTGCATGCTGAACAAATTAATTGACATAAACTGTATGCTGCTATCGTTTACGAAGCTAATTATTAAAGATGTCTCAACTTGGAAAATTCCAGTGTGCCTGCCAGCCGAGTTGAAAACTATCGGCAGTATCGATAGGCTGCACTTTGGAATGCAAATGAGCTTATTTTGTATTCGTAGTCTTCTTTAATCAAATTCAATACATATTCGGCAATGGCAGTTCGTTGAGCGTGGGCCTCTTCATGGCTGCACAAATGGTTTATATGAGGGCGCTGTTTACACATAGATAGCAATATGCATACTCAAGTTGATGTTTTTCCTTCACCCAGGATTACCGTATTAGTAAGATGCAAACGTTCCATTTGGCGTATGCTGAATATTCATGGTGCAACAATTAGGCCTATTAAAATATACTTTGGCCTTTTATTGGGGCTATTA